CGGGTCTCTCAAATTCAAGAGCTCACTGCGAACGCACATTGGAAATACGTACCAGGTACGTCCAACCCAGCCGATTGCGCCTCACGAGGATTAAATACTGCTCAACTCCAAAGTCACTCATTATGGTGGACGGGACCACCGTGGATACTCACCCCTGAAGCTTGGCCATCTCAACCCGCGCTTTCGGACGAGTTGAGTGCGCATGAGGCTCGTCCTGGCATTGCGCTACATGCGGCCGCATCTCAACCGGACTATCACTGGGACCTGATATATAGGTATTCAACACTCAACAAGTTATTGAAAATAACAGCTCTTTGTTTCAGGTTCATATCGCTTCTGGGAAAGCGCCGACGCAAAACACTGGACTTACACTCAGCTTTGGAGGAGGCCAGATTCTTCTGGATTAAGGCTACTCAAGCGGCATACTTTACGTACGAGATCAAGATACTCACGGCCAACTCGAGATCACCAACTGCTCACGCATTCAGTCGATTGACTGCGTACATAGACGCTCAAGGACTCATCCGAGTTGGCGGCCGTCTCAATCAACCAAAATTGGATCAAGACAACAAACATCAGGCGATTTTACCTCGCCACTCACGCTTCTCAACCTTAATCACCGCTCACGCCCATTTGCGCACCCTGACTGGAGGAACACCGCTGACATTGGCTCATGTCAGGCAAAATTACTGGATCATCGGCGGACGGGCTCCGGTGAAGTCTTGTATTTTGCGGTGTGTCGTGTGTGCTCGGCAGAGGGGGATCCGTGCTCATCACCTGATGGGCCAACTACCTCTCTCTCGGGTTACGCCGTCACGTCCGTTTACTCATACAGGAGTTGACTATGCCGGACCGCTCACCATCAAAACATAGAAAGGTCGAGGTGCAAAAACATACAAAGGAGGGATCTGTGTGTTCGTCTGTTTCTCCACCTCCGCAATTCACCTCGAAGTAGTCAGTGACTACTCATCAGAAGGATTCATCGCAGCCTTCCGAAGATTCTCAGCTAGAAGGGGAATTGCTCAGATCATGTATTCGGACTGCGGGACAACATTTATTGGAGCAGACGCCGCGCTCAAGAAAATGGTCATCCAGGGCTCTCAAGAACATCACGGATTGCTAAAGTTTTACAACTTAATGACACAGGATGGGAGTTCAACCCACCAGGCGCTCTACACATGGGGGGCAAGTGGGAGGCGGTAGTAAAGTCTGAAGTTTCATCTGAGACGGACTATCGGGGAGACTCTACTCACGACGGAAGAACTCACAACGTTGCTTACGCAAAACAAGGACATTCTCAACTCGCGGCACTTAGAACCGCTGAGTGACGACCCTGAAGACGTCTCAGCGCTCACACCAGGTCATTTCCTCATTGGAGGTCCACTTACTACCATACCCAAGCCATCTCTGATTGACCTAGGAACCTCACGACTATCTCGGTGGCAGCTCATCCAGTAGCATGTTCAACATGTTTTGGGCATAATGGTCGGCTCATTATCTGCAACGCCAGCAGGCGATATCCAAGTGGCATCATCCTAACAACAACATCAAGATGGGTTCCATCGTGCTGCTCACCGACGAACGTTCTCCGCCGTGCAAATGGCCACTCGCCAGAGTAACAGCTTTGCACCTCGGCAAGGATGGACTCACCAGGGTGGTTACCCTCAAGACGGCCACGACACTCACTCGGCCAAGCGCCAAGCTTGCCATATTACCCATTTCAACCGGATGAAGGATCAAGAGTAAGGAATCATCAACAAGGTTGCTGATGGCAGGCGGAATGTTCGAGATTCCGTTAACGTTGCGCCGTCCGATCAGATGGCAGCATCGATCGGATATCGACGCCCGATCACCGCGACAGCTGGCGCACGCACGGGCGCGCTCATCGCCAACGTCTTCCTTGCGATATTCAGAGTCGTAAAAATGGCCGCGCAGTGATCAGACGCACGACGTGTGCTCTGTGCAGTTTCGATTGTGACTACACAATGAAGTGCCCACCGCAGTGACTACAACAGCTGCCGAGATACTGCATTAACATGTAAAGCGACCGCTCATCCAGCTCTACTCGGGTACATCAACACGACGACTCAGGCTCACATGTGCGCGAGTGCCGACCGCCACGTGTCTCACCGGCTTACGGGCGATTCATCGAAGAGGACGGCAATTAATATAATTGCCTCTCATTTACTCAGACTATATATACACCTCATTTTGTTCACTGTTCATCACTCTCAGGTCAGATTGTCTCAATTTCGACGCATTAAAGACGCATTAAAGACGGCTCAGACTGTGATCTGAGTTACACAAAATAAAGTGCATAATTAGTTTTAACACCTTCCACGCGCGTCCTTCTCATCCCGCTTCCATCGCCGGGATTAATCAGCGATTTCGCGAACACCTACATAACCTTACTTTCTTAAAAATCCTGACGTGTTAGAGCAAAATAAGGCCTTGTTTCAATTTTAGCTACACAAAATCTATAAAAATCGTCTACTGCGGTCCCAGTTGCTCTCCAAAAAAATTTTTTTGTGGTCTTGTGTAATCTAAGTGTCCGGACGCGAATGGCGAGTAACGCAATTAAACCAGCGCGAATAACCGTCTGACGCAATTAATACTATTACGCGATTAATACTCGGCCGGGCGAATTGATACGCACAACGAGACGCGCGGTCGTGAACGCGAAGAGCGTGAGAAATGGTGTACTCGCGATATCAAACGTCGTCATTGACGCGCCTACCGCGATCTCTAGGAGTTCGTAGATTTTGGTCGCGATTCCACGGCTACGAGACCATTTCGGTGCTCCTCGCTTTCGCTGTCGATCGCCAAATACGCCTTATCGGCGAATACGCTAATTATCGCGAATATTTCCGAGCGAGAGCGCGACTCGGGGAGCGGTGTCGTGGCTTTACATAATAATTGTTACGCGAGGCAACCTCACCCTAGGTCGACTCCCTCCTGAGGGTCCTCGCCGTCGTCCCAAGGGTCGAAAGGTAGCTGCCAGGGGGCCTATTACGGTTTTTGGGTGAGTTCACTCACTTTTCACATTTTCATCTCACGTGACTTTGTTCACCCGATTATAGAAGTGTCGAGTGAAACTGCGAGATCATTAGGCACTTCCAGTTTAGTGATTTCACATTTTCACGAAACCGCGATCCGCCGATAGCGTCATAGTAAAAAAGTGAGGTTAAGTGATAAAAATTTGTTATAGAAAAAATACAGATAAATGAATGTTACAAACAAACAGAAAAGAATATTGCTAAACTACATGAAGGATAATAAAGATTTTGCAAGAGGCCGCTTACGATACAATAGTAGCAATAAAAAAATATTAGTAAGTACTATACATTATCTATCAATAAACATTAAAATTAGAGATCTTATCGGTAATGCCGTAGTATTTTATTAATAATAATAGATAATTATATAATAATAAGTAAATTAAATTTGCATATGCAGGATGATATGTGGACTTCCATCACTATATCCTTAAATGCCACTGGAAACGGACCTCAAAAACAAACTAAAGAATGGCAAAAGGTATTTATGGAAGGAATTATAATATCTTATTAGGAAACAAGGATAACAACATTTAATTATACTGATACGATTATTAAGAAATTCTGGTATTTTACATAAATGTAGACATGGAGAGACTGGAAATCGAATGTGCTAAAGAAGTGTGCCCAAAATAAAAGTTATGCTGGCGGTACAGGCGGAGGACCACCAAAGGTACTTCAGTTAACAGAACTGGAAGAAAGTTTATTGGAAATCTTAGATCCAGAAGCTGCTGGTTTGGCTAATATACCTGAAGCAGGAAATTTTAATAGGACTAAGCAGAGAGGATCTGTACCTACTAATCCTGTAGCTGCTAATCCTGTACCTACTAATGATACAATTTCACAAAAAAAATCATGCAAAACGATTGCGCAAGAAATTGAACAACATCCACCTAATTCTATGCAAATGAAAAGGGTATAATATGCACTGCATTCTATATATGATGTCATTAATGACTGATATATTTATTTTTAATATGAATAAGATATAATATAATTAATGTATCAAATAAATTATTTTTATGTAAATTCAAATAATATTTCAAGAAATCTACTTTTACATTGGCTTCCAATAATAAAAGGTACAAGATGGATAACATAGCCAATTATCCGTCAACGTCTACAATTGGAGTTCTTCACAACACAGATTTTTCAGCACGGGTAAGTAAAATCAGTATATCTTTATTGGCAAATAGAATGTTTATGTGTTAATAATAGAAAAATAAAAATAAACATTTACAGGAGGTGGAAAGCAATATTAATATTTTTGACCATAATGCTTTCGAACCTGACAGTGAAGAAGTTGATGACGTTGTTTTGGAAGAGAATAATACAAATACCGCACCACGTGGGCAGGTCATTTCTGAACGTCATGAAGCGCAAGGCAAAGGTATTAACTATTACTGGTTTCCTTTGTGTCTTTTTTTTAAATATTGACATCATAAAATAGAATAAAGTAAAATATAAAATTTTGAATAAATATTATATTTTAATGCTTTTGATTGTTCAGTTACCAAGGTACCAAGATGTAAAGGAGATCAATCCAGTATAGCTGTACAATTAATGGACGATAACATTAAAATTAAACAAGAAATGTTGAAGATTTCTAAAGAAAATTTACTTTTACAAAGAGAAAAGTTTGAATTTTTGAAAAATATTCATTCTAATTATAATAATATTTTAAGTAATGTTGATTATAATATTATGCGTTTAAGAGAAGCAGTTGAAAAAATGGCACCTTCATATCTCAATATCTAAAAGAGAGAGAGAGAGAGAGAGAGAGAGAGAGAGAGAGAGAAAGAGACTTTTATTTTTTTTAATGTCTATTTATATTTGTTTTATTTGATTTATGTTTCATTAATATATAATATATAAATAAGACTTATATAAAAAAATATATGTTTATTTAATTAACAAAAGTGCAATGTTATGTTACAATTGTTGTCAAACATGATGATTAATTACAAAAATCTGTAATGAATAAATTATAATAGCCTATTATTTTGAAAATATGTATTAATAATTTTTTCTCGAACTTCATTCCCATTTTCCATTGCATCTTCATTTATCCTTGGAAGTTCCTGATCTATTTTATCGTAGTACAACTCCGGTTCTGGAAGTCTCCACCGAATAGCGATGTTATGCAAAACGCTGGCAGCATTAACTATTCGAGCTGAAAATGAAGATATTTATACAATGTTTAACAAATTATCTAGTTCTATGAAGAAAGTTTATACATACATATATATTGTTTTTATCATATCAATTATACCTGCAATTTCTGGTGTATAATGGAGAGCTCTCTCCTTTCTGAGGCATCGCCACCTCCCTTTTAAGACACCTATGCATCGTTCCACACAAGAACGAGCTCGGACATGACACTGCGTGTATCTTGCTGATGGTGTACCTTCAGGTTCATTCAGCTTAGGTGTCATCAAATATGGGAACAACGGATAAGCACTATCACCTGCAAACAAAAGATATATACAGTTTATTATACATAGAAAAGTATTGCTGCCGAGACTGGAACAAGAAAAACCACACTGTCATTTAAATGTCCTGTCACCTAAAAGCCAAGCATCTCTTCGTCCTGCAGCGTACATCTCTTGCAGATGATTAGATATACGAGATGCTCTCCAAACTCTAGCATCGTGTGTTCTTCCATAATGTGCAGCATTTAGGGTCAAAATTTTACCCTCGTAATCCGATACCTATAAATTTATAAATATATTTAATTACTTTATAGAATTAATCGTGTAGTATAAATTAATACATAATTACACTTTTCTTACTTATTTTATAATTTACTCTATTGTATATAATAATTTTTGTACATTATAAAGGTAATGTTATACATACAATAAGAACATTCAACGAATGATATAATTTTCGGTTAATATAGAGGTGCTCCCTCTCTGCATTTGGTGGAACAATCGCTATATGGGTTCCATCTATTGCTCCAATAACACCAGGAAATTGTGTACGTGCCCAAAAACTGCAACATTAAAATAAAATGTATTCACTGTACAATTAAGGCTCCCTGGGCTCTTATTATGGTTGTGAGAGAGAGATTCATTATTACTCTATTATAGAATAAATGTATTAAACTTACGTTTCTTTAATATGCCGAATTTCTGCATCTTCGATTGGAAATTGAATCCAGTCATTCATTAAAATATTTAAAGCATTGACTATATTGCGTAGAATCTTGCTAACTGTTGGTTGACTTACACACGATAAATAATTTTGACCAACTCGCTTTTGATATGAACCAGAAGCTATAAAATTCAACGCAATTAGAACCTATAACAAAAAATTATTGCCACAATAAATAAGTTTTCAATAGGAAAAAATAAATCATTATATTACTTTGTAATGATAACTTCAATACCTGTAATTCAATAGGAACTGCATGACGTCGTTTTGTGAATGGTAGTAGAGGTCGTACATCTTCTATCAGCACTCGCACAGCTTCCTTGGATAATCTGAAAAATTATAAAGAAGTTTACTATGTGCTCATTTTATTTGACTGTATTTTCAATTTTTACTGTAAACGTGAGTTTTAAGAAAATGTAACCTCCAAAAGTATGAAAAATCGCATTTACCTGTAAAGACTACGGAATTCACTTTCCGGAATACTAAATGGATCTGAGGCGTCCCGTAATCTCCTTCGTATTCTCAGCATTGTATTATCTCGATGTTGTTGCATAAATACCGCGATTATTAAATTATCCATTGTAACTTGTAACGAACAGTCTTTTTTCCTCGTCACTCTTGTTTGATTTCACCCACAGAACATATATTTCACCTTTTCACCTAGAAATTTCGTGTCGAGCCCGCTCACGCGAATAATTTCGTATTTTTATTAGGTGAGATTAACGGTACTTGGGTGAACTACTCACTTTCGTCACTTTCACCCAATCCGAGAACCGTAATAAGCCCCCAGGAGTCTTACAACGCTCCGAAATGCGACTCAAGTACGAAAGGCAGAGCACAGCGATCTCAACGTTTTACGTGTGTCGGCTATCGAGAACGATTCAAGAATGCTCCCGAAATTTCGCTTGATGGCGGAATCGATAGCGCACCCCACCTTGCGCGTACGCAGCCCCGCGACGCTATAGCGCGGACCAATAAGGGGCAAGCTCACAGGCTCGCGGTGTATCCTCGCACAGGGCCGTTAATTACGGCTTTTTGCAGGGCGTCTACTGGCCCCTCGCCGGCGCGGCGATTTTTCCGGGATCCTTCCCGGCAACGGACGGGACGTGATTGTCTCCGTGTTCCTCTTTTTCAGTCCCGGAATGGTGGCCGTCTATCCCGGGATCCGGTCAGTAATGAGAGGAGGGCAGGTGAGCTGATTTTGCCCCGGCGTCCCGGGGTCCTGCCATTACGGATCCGCCCGCCGCTGTGTCACGCGCCTCGCGCGTGTCCTTTCGCGCTTCCCTGCTCTTGCCGGCCCGCAAGCATCGCTGAAATCCGCCGTTCGTCGTTCGGTTTCTCGCCTCTGTCTCTTCCGGCGACTCCGTTTTCCGCGATCCTTTGCTTCTCCTCAGGAACTCTGGGCTCGACTCGGTGAGGCGCCATGATACAGAAATGAAAATAAAGAGATCAGAATAATGTACGCAAATTTAATATGCTCCTGGAGATCTCGCATCGATTCATTGAACCGTCCTCGGGCGCGAAAAAAGTTGCGAAATCCGCGCCTTGTGACGGCGGCAGGGCGCTGCAACGCTGCAGCGAAACTGCAACGTCACAATCAAGAGACACGGTAGTGTCTCGCGCCAAGTACACGCGGAGCGAGACCGACCGTGACTCTTTTACGCGACGCGACGGGTTGCGAGTACCCGAGATGTTGAGATCTCGATAACGAGTGAACGGATCAAGTTCTAAGTAGGCTTGATCGATAGCTTGGGGTCCAATTAGGGGGGGGGTTTCTCTTATAATATTCCGCTACGTGCCCTACGAGCGGAGATATTGCGACGCAAAGTCCAAATATGAAAATTTATTTTTAAGATACTCCTCCTAACGCCGCGACATATCTATCAGAGAAACGTCACTTTCACTTTTTCGCCGCTGGCGGCGCAGGTATCGCCAGTTTCGATATCGCGCGCGTATTTCGAAATTAGGTCGATAGACTTATCGGTCAGGAGGAAGATTTCTATTTAGGCAAATTAGGTATATACTTATATAATATATATTGAGTCAATTGCTTCATGTTTATCTGGAGAGATTTCGTACCCTTACATCGTATTACCACCGCTGCCGGAAAAGAAGGTTCTCTACGCTTGGCAGAAAGTGCCGCTAGGGAATTTTTAAGTCGATTCTTATGAATCAAGCTTGAATTCGATGTCTAGGTATCCCAGGTTGCCGATGACGAGGTCCAGATAGTGCGCTTCATAGTTTTCGGTGTCCAGGTGTAATAATACGTTGAATTCGATGTCTAGGTGTCCCAGGTTGCCGATGACGAGGTCCACATAGTGCGCTCCGTAGTTTTTGGTGTCTACGTGTATTAATACCTTGAATTTGATGTCCACGTGTCCCAGGTTGCCGATGACGGGATCCAGATAGTGCGCTTCATAGTTTTCGGTGTACAGGTATAATCGTACGTTGAATTAAATGTCTAGGTGTCCCAGGTTGGCGATGACGAGGTCCACATAGTGCGCTTCGTAGTTTTCGGTGTCCGGGTGTAATAATACGTTGAATGCGATGTCTAGGTGTCCCAGGTTGCCGATGACGAGGTCCACATAGTACGCTCCGTAGTTGTCGGTGTCTACGTGTATTAATATCTTGAAATTGATGTCTAGGTGTCCCAGGTTGCTGATGACGAGGTCCAGATAGCGCGCTCCGTAGTTTTCGGTGTCTAGATGTAATAATACCTTGCATTCGATGTCTACGTGTCCCAGGTTGCCGATGACGAGGTCCACATAGTGCGCTTCGTAGTTTTTGGTGTCTAGGTGTATTAATAACTTTAAATCTGAATGTAGGACACGTAGATATCGAATTCGAGGTATTAATACACGTAGACACCGAAAACTACGGAGCGCATTATGTGGACCTCGTCATCGGCAACGTGGGACACCTAGACATCGAATTCAACGTATTATTACACCTGGACACCGAAAACTATAGAACGCACTATCTGGAACCCGTCATCGGCAACCTGGAACACGTGGACATTGAATTCAAGGTAGCTAAAATTATGTCATGACATAATAAAAATTCGCTGAATTAAAATTATGTCTAGACATAATAAAAATTGGACGAATTAAAATTATGTCTAGACATAATAAAAATTGGATGAATTAAAATTATGTCTTGACATAATAAAAATTGGATAAATTAAAATTATGTCTGACAAAAATAATTCCGCATTTTTATTATGTGTATACACATTTTAAAAAAAAAGGTAAAAAGAGGCGCTAAGTACACGCATAGTAGTGTATATGTATTATGTTGTTACCCTGTTATGTTGTTACCTCGAAAAAACTAAGTGGTAGTATTATACCTCCAAATAGCTTTACCCTGTACATACTGTTTATAAAATGCGTAATACTACAAAAAGGCGTGATATCCGTACAAAATTACCTTTTTTAAAAAAAAGGTAAAAAAAGGCGCCAAGTACACGCATAATAGTGTATATGTTGTTACCTCAAAAAAAAAAAAGAAAGTGGTAGTATTATACAGCGAAAAAACCTAAGTAACAAGTGGTAGACGTAATCTTTATATCTCGAAAAATCTTGAAAAAATTTAAGCAGTAGTATCTTTATTTTCGAAAAATTATAACACAAGTGATACACATCACAAAATTATGTTACCTTATCAAAAAGAAGAGTCGCGCTTCAAGTGATCTATTACAATTACAAAAAAGAAATATCTCTTTAAATTACAGCGCCAATTACAGAAAGAACATATATATTGCCTCAAAAAATAATTGTTGCACTACTTTGAAAAATCTTTACATTGTGTCAATTAGAAAAGAATGTATGATAACAATTTTATAAGATTAAAAAATTTTATTTAAATTTAACAAGGGAATACAAGATATTTAAATACAAAGTTTACATGTGTATTTTTTAGTGGTCA